CAATGATTTAAAGCTCTTAAATACAGACACACAAGTTCTACAGAACCTTGAAAGAATGAGCCACAACTTTAAAAAAAAATGTAATTTGGGAGGCAGAGATAGGAGTACTGCTGTTTAAAGTAAGCCCAGCTAAAAAGTTAGCAAGACCAGTGTGGTGGTTCATGATTATAATCCCAGCTGTGTGGGAGGTAAGGTAGGGCAACTGCGGCCGACGGCCAGCCTAAGGAAAAAGTGCAAGACTATCTGAAAAATAAAGTCAAAAGAGTTGGGGGCATGGCAAGTGGTAAAGCATCTGCCTAGCAAGTTCAAAACCCCAGAACAACCACCCCCCAATTTTTTTTAATTGTGGTAGAAAACATACTTACCTTCTTAACCATTTCAAAGTTTATGCTTCAGTAGTGTTTATAACTATATTCATATTGTTATACTAGAATTCTCTAAAACTTTTCCAATTCACAAAAAACTGTTCCAACTTACAAAACTGAAACTCTATACCCATTGAACACAAATCCCCATCTTTCCCTCCCCAGTGCTATAAAAAAGAAACATGACAGACTGCATCTGGATGGGTGGACAACCGAGTAAAGCATGAGTTTAAGGAGGTAGATCGGACAAAGGTTTGCTAGGTGGGCTCTGAATGTGGACTAGCTGGACTCCAATCCCCACACTTCCACTTGCTATTGATGGTGATGAAGCACACAATGTGAATCAAGAAGTAAATGAAATGAACAGTTAGTCCGGAATTAAGCAAGCCAGTAAATGTAATTAAAAACTGAAAGGCAGAATCAGAGCCACGTGAGAGTCGAATGCAACAAGATGCACCACTTACTGATGTGCTGGTACATCTCATCTCAGACACTCTTTGCACGCATTATTCAATTCAATCTGCTTTATAATCCAGATAAGGAGGACTATCATTTCCACTGCACAGAGAAGGAAACTAAAGAACAAGGAGATTAAGTAAGTCTTCTAAGCATGAAATAAGTGGCAAGCCAGGATTCAAAAAAGAGGCCTGAACACCCTCTCCCATGACACTGAAGCAGTGATGCTTCTAAAATATGACTTGTCTGATGAAGCAACGTGACAATTCCTCCTCAATAACCAGAGACACAGCCATTAGCATAGAAAGGTGAAGATGCATGATATTATTTAGGTTATTTATACTTACAGAGAAAACAATGGCTGTTTTGGTTAGGGATTGGGGAGGCTGTCTTCAGGTTTGAACTCAGGGCCTCACGTTTGCTGGGCAGCACTCTACCACTTGAGCCACACCTCCAGCCCTTTTTGCATTACTTATTTTTCAGGTAGGGGCTTGCTTTTTTTTTTGCCCAGGCTGGCCTGGACCATCATCTTCCTATTCAAGCATCCCACATAGCTGGGATACCAGGCATACAATATCACACCCAAATACTGGTTGAGATTGGGTCTCGCAACTTTTTCCCCAGACTGGCCTGGAACTACTGTCTTCCCAATCTCTGCCTCCTGAGAAGCTAGGGTTACAGGTGTAAGCAACCACACCCAGCCAAAATATTGACATTTGGGGCTGGCAGAGTGACTCAAATACTAGAGTACCTGCCTAGCAAGCATGAGACCCCGAGTTCAAACCCCAGTATCCTCCCCCCATCAAAAAAAAAGAATCCTGACAGTTTAGTGAAGTTTCTAAGAAATTAAAAAAAAAAAAAATATATATATATATATATATATATGTATATACGTAAAGTAGAACAGCAGAAAAGTGAGCAAAAAACTGGCATATCAGCAAGCACTTAAAACTTGACAGAAACAAAATCAAGGTGGAAATACAAATGTGAGTAAAGTCAGGCTTCAATGAAGACTCAATGGAGCAGGAGGGAGGCTAAATACACTACTCTAAAACATGATGGCACCTCAGGGGACAACCTGTTACTTTTTGTTATGGAAAGCAGGAAGTGCTATGGGTTGGGTGTACGGGGAAGATAGCATAAAGTGGTTTGTAATACTTGGATTCTGGAGATGCAACCAAAACTACCAGTCACTAAAGGTGTGATCTTCAGTACATTACTGAAACTAAATCTCAGCTTCCCCACTTGAAACGGAGATGTTCATGGTGGTAGTGATGAGGACGAGGATGATGGTGATGAGGAGGTAACAACAATACTACCTGCAATTGCAAGTATTTTTTAAATGGGACAATACATGCAAAATAGCACAAAAGTAAGAACTTAGAGAGCACTCCACATGTTAGATAATACTAATTATTTTTGTTACTTTGGGTAAAATAAAAATGCGCAGAAAGCCATGAATAGAGAAAAGGCAAGGGCTGTGAGCCACACAGATTAAATCAGAAGGGAATGAGTAGGAAATATATCAAGTTAGTGTGAACACCAGACCACAGAATTTAGAGTTACTCTAGAGGCAGTGAGAAGTTATCCACTATGTTCATCAAATGTCTGAAAACAGCAAGCCCCAAGTATCCTAGAAGCACACCAGGAGGGTGATTCCTACTCTGTTAATTCTTCCCTTGGTGTTATTTTTCCCTTATACCATTATTGAAAGACCAGGTAAATCCACTTGGTACTGAGTAACAAACCATTCTCCTGTGTTCACTTTAAAATCGCAACAGACAAAGACAACAGGGGGACGGCTGCCAATTCAACACATGGCCTGCCCTTCTGTTCTACTCACTAAAAAGCCATCTTCCCCCCATGACTTATATTCATGGTCCAAAAAGCTACCTGGCATCCTAAATTTTAATATCTTCCCAGCCTGGTGGATGCTGTTAAAATATATTCAGCTTCTTTTCTGGCAAGGAGTCACGCAGCTGGCCAAATGGTTCCCCAAAGTGAATCTTCATGGTCAATCATCTTTCATGTCACTTATTTTTTATTTAATCATCAAGGGTGTTAGTATCTATCATTCAGTGTAGCCCACAAAGGGAGAAATGTGTCTCTTCCTAATCTAGTTATGTCTATAAAATAAAATCTGATTGGAAAGCTGCCTTTCTGGAGAATGAAACATACCTCTAATGTCCCATTCACAATCTCAGGTACACTCTATTTTCTTAGAAGGCTTTCTTTCTGTAAGAATTGAATGAAATGCTTAAGACTCCTCTATAATTTTATGTAGCTAGAAAGAACAGAGCTGCAATACAAGCTTTTAATACTTTAGTCCTATTTTGTCTTTTACACACGACCCTACAGATTCAAACAGGTGGAGGCATTTGTCCAGGTTTATAGAGTTGGTCATGAGCAGTGGTAGAACCAAGAATCCAGGCCAAGGAAGAAATGAGATGCTGGTCAAAGGCATGAAGTTTTAGTTAGGCAGGATAAGTTCTGTAATGTATAGCACGATTAGCAACATTGTATTGTATACTAGAAATATGCTCAGAGAGAAGCTCTTAAGTATCCTCACTACACACACACACACACACACACAACCCCCACACATAGAGGAGGAGGAGGTAAGCAAGTTTGAGACCCTGGTTCAACCACAGTACCACGAGAAATAAAGGAGGGGGAGAAAATGGTAACCATGAGCAGTGTAGTGATCATTTGACAATGATACACATTTTTGATATCTATATCAAAATATTAAGTTGTTCCATTTAATTTAAGTAATTTTTACTTGTTCAATCATACCTCAGTAAAGCTATTAAAAGAATAATCCAGTTGATATGTCTACAACTTTCTCACTTACATGTGTCTGGGTGTATTTTCATAGATGTGAAGACACACACACACTTGAGAAACCCCAAATCAGATAATATACATAGTACTCAACATATTAGATATTATCACTCTGTTCTCATTTTAAGAAATATATGAGTTATTACTATGATCTTCTACTTTAATAAGTCTCCATCTTTTTCTGACTATACAGTTTCCTTTTACCATAAGAAATGTTAGCACTTGCCACTGTCTTCATTTTTCCTGTTTGATATGGGGCTTTATCTTCATAGAACTTTGTTAACTTATGAATCTCTAGAAAATTATACATTCATTTTACCAACAAACTAAACAAACACTTCTCAAAATGTGAACTGTCTTCTGTTTTAAATTAGACACACGCTTGCTACCCTTTACAAATGGGAATGAACAGTTGATTATGCTCATACTTATATACTTATATTTAACTGCAGGGACAATTACCAACATGGGTGAAGTTCAGTGAGAGAGCCAAATCTCATCCATGGAATAGAAGAGCACAGCTGTGGTTACAGTGGCAAAAGACAGGTTTGCCTACTACAGCCCATCTTCTTTCTACTCCCTAAACACTGGCTCAAGCAATTCAATACCCAAGAGATGCCAAACCACATATCCCTCATCTGCCCATCGTGCCAACTCCTGAAATAGATTGCTATCGCATTCAAACACAGAGTAATGGAAAGTATCACTCACTCAATTTCTTTCAAACCTCGTATCTGATTTTCATTAGAAGCCTGATGTCTGATTCCTTGACATGTTCTGGAGTTCATACAACTCTTCATTTGAGTCAGCCAACTGCCATGCCAGGAGCTGCATCTGCATGTGCACATTTGTGGACTGCGATGGGCCACACTTAAGAAGCCAGGAAATGTCTTCGTGGGCAACCAATAGACAAAATGAGGATAAATGCACTGAAGTTTTAGATTCATTGGCATAAGTTAACTTGAGTCAAAATCCAGAGAAAGGGTTATTTTACTAATCAATATCAACTTCCTTTGTCATCTAATTCTGCAGAGTAAAAATATTTTGACAATTAAAAGATATCAAACTCAACAAATCATAACATATGAGATGGCCAGATTCCACCCCAATCAAGCCATAAGCATGTGCTATGACTTACTGAGGAAGGTGAAGCAATATACTTTCACCTGTCCCATGTCCCTAACTCCTGGCCTCATTCTCCTGCAAGCCTTTCCTAACAACACAGCGCCATTTCCCTTCTCAGATGCTTAGGATCCTGTCTCCATTCCTTTTTCATATGCTTACTGTCAAAATAATTAGTGAACTGGGCTCCATGGTCAAGGAGCCCTGACTTACCGCCTCACACTCTTCAATCTCATGACAAAAATCAGCAAAGGAAGAAAGCAGCTTGAGTTTATGTTCAACTAAGGTCATGTCTTCTGAGATGAGAAAGACTATGCTTTGTCTTAAACATAAGCTTTTCAGCCACAATCATGACCAAGAATTACAGCTGCAAATTTATATCTCCTCATTTTTAAATACCTAGAACTTCAAAGGCAAGACTTGCTCACTCTGACAGGCAAAATAATGGCCCACAAATATTTCCTCACACTAATCCCAAGAACCTGTGAGTGTGCTTCCATGAAGACTTGTAGATGTGACTGAGAATCTCAAACGAGGGATATTATCATGGGCTACCTTGGTGGGATCAATGTAATCACAAGGATTATAAAAATATAAAAATGGGGGAACGTTTTAAAAAGAGAAAGAATTGAGAGGCTATGAAAAAATTGGAACCCTCATACATTACTGCTATGAGTGTAAAATGCTGTACCTACTATGGAAAACAATGTGTTGGGTGTTCCAAAAGTTACATAGCCAGGCATGGTGGTACATACCTATAATCCCAGTACTTGGGAGGCTGAGGCAGGAGGAATCACAAGTTTGAGGCCATACTAGGCTGCATAGCAGCCTCAAAAAAAAAAAAAAAGTAACATATAGGCTTAAAAAATGGCCCCATAATTATACTCCTATGTATATACAAAAAAGAACTGAAAACAGATTCAAACAGGTACGTCTGCACTGATATAAATTATATATTTATAAAAAATCAGCAATATTTACAACACCCAAGAAGTAAAAACAATCCAAGGGTCCAAAAAGCAGATGACTTGATAAGAAAATGTGGTATATAGCTATAAAGGAATATTATCAGTCATAAAAAGGAACAAAGTTCCAATACATACAACATGGATGAAACATGAAACCACGCTGAATGAAATAAGGCAGTCAGAAAAAGATAGATATTGTATGAATCTACTTACTTGAAGCATCTAGAATAGGCAAAATCATTGAGACAAAAAAAAGAAAGGATCACCAATAGCTAGGAGAGTGAGGGGTAGGAGTTACTGTTTGATTAGTACAGAGTTTTTGTTTGGGGTATTGAATATTTTTGGAAATACAGATTGTTGGTGATTGCATGCTATTTGGAATGTGTTTAATTGTGATGGTATTATACTTAAAACAGTAGATTTCATGTTATGCATATTCTACCACAGCAACAACAAAAAACTGTAAGTGCAAGGGGATGGGGCGGGGCAGGGCCAGTGTCAGAGTGATGTGAGGAGGACTTGCTCGTCGATGTTGGCTCTGAAGATGAAGGAAAGGGACAAGACAAAGACTTCAGACAGTCTCTTAAAAACTTACGACAAAAGACTCCAGCTCTTCCAGAAAGAAATGTAGACCTGCTGAGACTTTGACTTTAGACTGGTAAAATCTGTGCCACACTTCTAAGCTATAAAATCATAAGGTAATAACCCTTTAATAACCAATAAATACATGAAACTTGTTATAGAAGCAAAAGAAAAATTACTATCTAGTTAATGATACTTTAACTCTATAAATGCATGACTTCCCTTTCTCTACAATATCAAATTCTACAAATTTCTAATCTGCTTCTCACTGCCAATCATCAGGGACATGGTGCCCATTTTACATGCTGTCAATTCAAGTTGATAAGAGCCAGCACTTAATTTAATTACAGTGGAAATAGAAAACTTTGGAGAACTTAATGATGTTCTACAATTAAATTACCAAACAGTCTAAAAATAAAACTATCAGCTCATGAAGAACACTTGTTATGAAATCATACTATTTAAACAAAGACAATTATCTTGGCACCACTGAAGGATTCGCTGCAACCATGTCAATTTCAAGAATCTCCTGGTGTCTCTACAGACACGCTCAACTGAGATAAGTAGGAAACCTGGAAATCTTGCATAGCAGGCCTTCTGAGGTAAGGCAAATTGATTAATTTCCCTGGTCTTCATTTTCTCTTCCTTTAGTGTTCTACTTAACTTTTGGCCCTTATCTCCCACAGGTGTGGGAAAGGCCATTAAGTAAACTTTTATATCTATCTGTACAATATCCTGGTATTAAGCCCTACATTAATGCTGCTTGCATCTCTGTGGTCAGCATCAACCATCAAGAAATTAATCCACACATGATGTCTAAGAGAATATGGTCATATTTAGTTTTTATAATGTACTTAACCCCTTAAGAAAGATGTCACAAAACCAGAAGAATGCTCAACAACTTACATTAAGAAAAACAATTCAACAATTTCAAAATCTTTTCTCAAAATGGGACTGCCAGTCCTATTTTACTGACTTTTCTTACTGTTCTTAAAGAAAGACAAGTCCCTAGACAGAAGGATGATTTGTTAATACTTTTCATGTTCTATCACTCAGTTAGTACATAATCATTGTGCTTGGTGTTCTGCAGAGCCATACATGCCATTTTTCAATAAACTAAAGGCATTCTACCCACAATCTTTTACTTTCTTTTTGACAAATAAAAAATGAGGACCGGAAGAGATGTTTCAAAGTTAGCTATCATTTACTTGCAGGTGGCTGTTAAATATTACACAAATCCTACTGTCTTTTTCAAACATGTAACGTAAAAACATCATTCAAAAGGGTGACAATGTACCTTTCTGTTCTCCCAGTACTGAGGTATGAACTCGGCATCACACTTGCTAGGTTTACCTCCTGAGCCACACCTTTGGCCCCATTTTTGCTTATAGTCATTTTTTCAGGTAGGGTCTCATGTTTTCACCCAGGGCTGCCTCAGACCAAGCTCCTCTTACATACGGCCTCTGCTAGCTGTGATCATAGGCACACACCATCATATCAAGCTTACTGAGACAAGGTCTTGCTAACTTTTTGCCAGGGTTGGCTTTGAACCATTGTCTTCCAATCTCTGATTCCCGAAAAGCTCAGACTACAGGCATGCATCACCATGGCCGGTCATACCTTGTTCTTTCATACTCCACTCTATCACTGGCCTGCTTCTCCTACATCCCACACCCCACTCTTCTGCTCTACCAAATCCACACAGCAACTCAAGTCTGGGGCTTCCATTTGTCATGCTCAGGACTAACATTTTCTTTGCTTTATCACTAGTAGTACTCGTTTGGAGGACCCAACAGGATCCTATATGCTATCCTATCATTTTACATGTGTCTGCTTTTTATTTCATAAGAGTGAACATTCCCTGAAATACTTTGTCACCTTCTACAATACTCAGACGGTGGATAGAACACAATGTGCAAATTAATGACATTAATTAATATTTGTAAGTAAAAACTCCCACAGTACCAGCTAAAGCAATTATGAGGTCTGGAACAGGGTAATTTAGATTTTACATATGCAACGCAAAACAGATGACATAAGTAATTTCTTAAATAGGTGGACTACATCATATATGACAAACATGAAATCTTAGACACCATAGTAAGCACTATCTATTATCGGAGGTACAAGGCTTTCAAAATGTGTTGCCTCTATCTAGGAGACAGAAAGGTGCAAGTAAAAGACAACCTGTCATTTGAGTTATTCCTGGTTTTACATTCTCACACTACAGTGGTGCATTCTAGGTAGCATAAAGTGCTACCCTCATGTGTGATCTGGTTCCAGTCTCAAGCAAGACAGCAGAGTGCTTTTGCACCAAGAGAAACAGCAGGACAGAAATGCCTTGGGTGGGGGAGGGGGAGGTAACACGCCTATGATTACAGACAAATTTCTGGGAAACAGAAAGTAGGCCTCAGGGTGTGCACTACTTAAATTCAAGTGTTAGACTTGGCTGTGTTCAGGAAAAAGGAAGAAAAAAGCCTACATGCGAGAGAGGTAAGAGAGAAGAAAAGGTAATATGAATCTGATTGTATTGACTCCCCGGGCTTCTCTACTGGGTAAACTACAACAGCAAACCTAAGGACATGACCCTGGAGGCTGAACTCAATTCACCCACTTGGTAAATTCTGGATGCAAACGCTTTTCTGTTTCTTACAAAGTAGTGCTATGCTTTTCCAAGACAGCTATAAGTATTTGGAGAGTTGCCAAAATACAACTGTGGCCATTTAATCTTTGCATTCTGACCCTCTGTAACAAACAACTCCAATCTCCCCACTCAAGAGATGAGCCACACCCAGCTCACATGCACCAATCTGTCCTCATTCACAAACTCCTCAAGTCCTAAGGACCCCAGGGATAATGCAACACAATCCATCCATCAACCTAACTTTTCATGGCACCCGAATTATTTGCATTCTTGTGTGCCTCTGGGTCAGATTCATCTTCTTCCAGAAAATTTTAACTCTAAGTGTGTATGTATCACTATTTGACATTAAGCTTTAAAAAGAAGTAGAAAGGTCAAGAGACTTTCAATTGATGACTTGAAAACCACCTCTCCTAAACAAGCCTTTAAAATCTGACCCTCCCCCTGCCTGTCCTATCTCAGAGGTCTGCTAGCCTGATGCCTCCACTGTGCTCCCCTCCACCAACCCAGCCAAGTACCATCGAGAAATAAACTCATTCATCATCTTCTCTCCTCTGTACATATATTTGTAAGTAGTAGACACAATACATTCTATCACTCTTTAATAGAGAGGTGCCACAAATACCATACATAATTTCCAAATAAATATGACTTATCAGAGTATATCAACATAAAAGCCATATTATCGTAATTTAATCTTTCTTTAATGACTCTGAAAGAACCCTAGGATTTTACATAGTCTTCTGGGCATCATGATAGACCTGAGTTCAAATTCCAATTAGTAGCTGTTCACTTTGGCAAGTAAGTTGTTCTTAATTTCAGTGTTTTCCTCTAAAAATGAGAACAACAAAACCCTCCTTGCAAGGATCACCATGACACATGGATAGAGGTGTGGTGTTTACAAAACAGGTGAGACTGGAGACAAAGATTCTAGTCTCCAGAGTAAAAATAAAAATAAAACCACTCAAGTATACCCTAGAACACATCTTGAGTGTAACTCCAGAACTGAAACTATTTGCTGTATATTAACTGGCAAGTCACTTTTTGAACTTGAGTTTCCTTGTGTACAAAATGAGCAGCCTTTTAGAAGAGGCTTTACA